AGGAGATCATTGATGAAGATCAGAAACAGCATAGGTCCCAGGATAGAACCCTGGGAGTTCTTATTGTCATCCTTTTATAAATGAGACAAGAGAAAGTGACTGCTTGATTCTTTCATTTCTAAATGTACAAAGCAGTGCTGAAAAGATTTTGACCTGGACCACATCTCAAATCCAAACCAAATGACTAAACATCAAATTTTTTTTCAGTCTCTCCTTGGTTAAGGCTGACTTTGCAGAAATTAGATTATGAAATTTCAAATCATGTATTAGTTATGCAGAGAACTTTTCAGTATCCTCTCATATTTACATATTTATAAAGTATAAAATGATACATATTGTTTTAATCATTTCACCTCAAGCAAGACATTAAAGCCACTAAGATGCAAAGGGGTAATGAGTATTAAAGAGTATAAGAAAAAATACTATTAAGGAGAGAGGACAATAAAAGAACAAGAATTGAGAAGACAGATGATTAGGACAGACATTACATTTAAATTTTTGAAGGTCAAAGTTAACTGGGAAGCAAGAAGTCAAAACAGAGTTTCACAAACAAGAAGTGTAATAAAAGAAACTGTTAGCATAGAACTTATGGTAAAAGTGGAGTAAAATTTTAATGTATATATAGTTTTATGTCCTGTTTTATATTTTATCGACTGTTGTTTTGCTAAATCTTGATTTTTCTAGTTTTCTAGATATTTTTGTCCTCTTTTTTGCTTATTATTTGTTTGAATATTTGATGATCCAAATTAGTACACATTATCAGATTTGCTGTTTTGAATATGAAAATGGTCCAAGAGGGTCCGGAGTATTATTAATTAAAACCTGTTTAAACTATTCTAATTATAGTCATCATATATACTTGCTCGTCAGAAATCTTTATGAAGGCCAGTGAATTGAAATATTGCACCAGTAACAAAAGCAAACATGAAAAGAATAAATTAACACCTTGTAGACATTGCTATCAAATAGCTGTAAAGTTTACCATTAACACTTTTATGTTATCAGAAGCGTTCACTACATATCGTTGTATTGCCTCTCTTTATATTGTTGGCTCTTCTGGTAATATAGAAATAGATAAGAGATTTTTATGTTGAATTTTATAAATAAAACTTCATAATTCTTCAGTGGTGAATAAAATGTTCTTCGTTTAATTTAATATTCAGAAAATGGTAAAGATAAGCAAAAGTGTTGAACAACTAAGTAAAATACAATTAGAAATTGCCTTAAATGTAGCTGTCATTTTTGGGCAGTATGCATAAGCTTACGAGTGATAGAATAAGGAACAAATAGGAAACGCTTATAAATTTAACCGGTTTCACTTTTATTTAAGCTTCTTATGAAGGTGAACTAAAAATGAAGCAAATAATTTATAAACATTTCTTTGTTTTATCATTCTGTTAAATTTTAATCTATATTTCATTTCAATTCATCAAAAGCAATGGATAAATCATCTAAATTATGCAAAAATAAAAACTACACTGACATCTCATTTTAACAGGTATATTTACCAAAATTACACAAATATATCGTGAGATGCTAAAGAGTAAATTTATCCAATAAAATTGCCAATGGCTTCAACCACAGCCTCTAGACGACTTTGAAATCTCCTGCATCCCTTCTGGACAATTTCCTTGTTTGAGTTGCCATAATCCTTGTCTTCAGTTCATCTTTGTTGTCATGTCGAGTTTTGTTGGTTTCTCGCTCAACTGTATATCACAAAAAGTATCAAGCGAGTTGCAATCTGGGAAGTTAGGTGGCTAGATATAAGGTGTGATGTGGTCGCAGAAATTGTCTGACAGCCATAACTGGGTTTTCCTGTTTGTGTAGCATGGTGCAGTGTCCTCTTGGCAGACATAGGGTCTTCCGTAGCCACCCTCTTGATTGAGAGCAGCATTACCTCCTCAAAGCACTTGATGTAGGCCTCCATGTTGAGTCTTAGTCTCTGTAGGAAGATGAATGGAGGCATAATATTGCTAGTGATCACTCGAAACACCTTTGTAATCAACATTAGACTCATCCAACTATTTCAAGATCCCTTGCACTATCCTCAGATTGACACCCAAACACTCTGAAATGTTTGTATTGGAGCTTCCAGCATTAATATCAAAGAAGTACAGCATAATGTTTCCAAATTTCTGGCGGAGTGAATTGTCAGGGTGATATTTTTTTACAGATGGTACCCAACTGAACCAACTATACTGTGCCGTCAACAAAATCAAAAACAAACAACGCACATGTGCAAAATTAAAAATTTCAAATGGTGACAATTTACTCATCGTACCCTGTATACAGTAGTAAATAGAACATTTGTATAGTTTTTGCACACTTTATATCCAGAAAGGGAAACACTTCACTTGTTCAAGGCCTTTTTTCACCATTGATCATAGAAAACAGTTGACAGTTTAGATATTTCTGAACAAGTTGAGAACCATGTATGGCATCCACATGAAAATCTCAGTCTGAAGAGGCTGTTTAAGAACATGATTCAAGTTTTTAGGTTAATGTTTTGATCTAGACAAAAAAAAAAAGAAGGTATCAGTTTGACTAATACCAGAATTATATTGGTTTATATTTTGACTTAATTTCCTGCTGGTATTTTACAGTTTGACTCATACTCTCTTGAATGGCCAGACTTTTGTGGATCGTCTACCCTCATTGATTAAACAGAATTTTACGTATCATTATTTTATTTAACGTTAAGTTGAATAGTGCTGTTTTTTTTTGTTTTTTCCATTTATTTTGCAGTTATTTTTATCATCTGGCTTTTGTTTTTTATTTGTTTTTATTTTGTGAGGATGACTAAATAAAAGTGGTGTAACAGTTGAATAAAGATGATCTTTTAAATTCTTTAGAGATGAATAAAATATATTAGATATTTGTCAAATTTACAGTATTTACATTAGTCGGACTCATCTTTGTCGCCATATTTGTCACAACGTTCCGGCCGTTGTATGCTCCGGCCTTCTTCAGGAATTTTGGAATTTTGAACTGAACCCTTTATTTCGATCACTGGGGTAGACTGTTCTAGTTCCATGTGCCATGTTTGATGGATGTCAGTTATCAGTTACCTCCTGCTAATTTTCCCTCTGCCTTAACCAGGTATTGAACTCACCTTCTTTGGGTCTGTCACTGGATCTAACCAACGCCTTTATCCACTGTGCCATGTGTCCTTGAGGACATCTGGGTATGAACTTCTGAGTATTATAAACCTGATGTTTTCAGCATCATTTTTAGATCCAGTGACAGACCCAAAGAAGGTGAGTTCAATACCTGGTTAAGGCAGTCGAGAACTTTCAGATGGAAAATTAGCAGGAGATAACTGATAACTGACATCTATCAAACATGGCACATGGAACTAGAAAACAGTCACCCCAGTGATCAAAATAAAGGGTTCAGTTCGAAATTCCAACCACCTGAAGAAGGCGGAGCGCATAAACGGCCGTAAAACGCCAGGACAATATGTATGATAAAGATGAGGACAATAGTACGACTAATGTAAATACTGTACATAATACCTCATCTCAGAAATATAGACAGACTTGTCAAATTTAATCCATTTCCTATGATTTATATGAGTAAAATATAAAAAGCTGGTCAAATATGGATTGGAATCTGACAGGATGATAAGATAAAGAACAAATAGGAAATGTTTATCAATCTAACATGTTTCACTTTTATTAGAACTTTATCAAAGATTGAGAGAAAACGGACAAAAAGACAGAACTTTGGTATTTTCAATTTTTTGGGGGTCAATTCTTATTAGTCACATGCATTAAAACCATAGATAATTCTCTATGTATGTATGTTTGTCAAAATTCTGGTATGTCTAAGTGGGCATCAGATGCTAATATTTATTTGTAATTGCGTATGTATCTCTGTCTAATAGGAGTACTTCTGATGTCTTCACCTTTGTGTGGTCAGCTGGTGCTGTGGGGTAGCATTCCACTTTAATCTGGGACTGTTTGTTTTATGCATGTACTATTAGTATTAGATAGATGTAAGATTCTTTAAGAACAGATTCGAAAAAAGGATGGTGATATAATGTAATGTTTTAGGCATGTGTTTATAGTCTGTATTAATGTTATTACAAAGTATTTTCTCCTTAAAGGATTATGTTCTTTGTTAATTACACACACATTCATACACAAATAGAATTCAAAATCATTAAAAGTTATAGCAGTTCAATGATCTCTTATATCCTGAAGAGTGATAGCATTTTAAAAAATATATATATATTTTCATAATCTAACTACTTTATAACAGTCTGTACTGAAAACCAAACATTGAAAAAATGGATGTTGATTTTCAAACTAGTTTTCTTTTGTTCTCATATCCTGTCACCTTACAAAAAAAAACTTAATTAATATTGTTAAAGTGGTGGAGAACATATGTACACTAAAATATTCATTAAAAAATAACTTGTATCTCTTTTTATATTTCCTTGAAGTTTTAAAATGTTTATCGAGTTATTTACTTTTCGATCATGTTTATTGAATTTGTCTTTATCATTTTTTTTTATTTCTTTATTATTTGATAAATTGTCATCTTTCATTAATGGCCAACTTGTCTGATCAGATTTTTGGTCGTTATTATTTTCTTTTGTACATTATTTTTTAAATAAGTACTGAGATTATCTTAGAAACACTAAGATAAAATAAAAGTAAAGGTGGTTTTAAACAACATACCTAAGTTTATGTAAATGAATATTTAATTAAAAACAAGTGCTGATGAAGTTTTGTATATTTTAACTCTTCTTTTATTCTCATCATCATAACGTCTTTCTTATTTGTGACTCAGTCATTGATTTGTTCAAGAACATTCTTCAGAATTATCCTCAATTTCTTTTCTTTGAAATTACTTAATGGCAGTTTTTTTCTTCTCTTTTAAATATACTGTCGATGTGTAACATATTCATTTTTAATATCAAGTTCTTCTTTCTTCTTTTATGTTAGGATAATCAGTCGTTGAACATTCAAGTGGCCGGATACAGTCTTCAAACAATGGGTACTGGTGTTTCAACCAGCTGTCCCAAGAGCCCAACAGTCAGCTCGCACTGGCTGCAACACTCTGACCAGCCATCAGTCATCAGCCTACCAACGAGGGCAGGACAGTTACAGTCAAGACCACACATCTCAGCTCACCTTCTCCCACCTTATCGCCACGCCTTAGAGGTGGACTGTTCTGACTTTCCCATCAATATTACCCCAGCCCATACACGGAAAGGGAAGAACGTGTCAGTTCTATCCTCATTGCAACCCCACTACCGTCATCTTCAGCCAAAGACACAGCAGCGGAATGCCACAAGCAGTGTCCGCCCATTTGCCTGCAGTGGGAGTGACTACTGCATTTGTGGACGTTGTTCTCTCTCTACTGTCCTGCCTCATGCTGCAGTGACAACGACTTTGGGTGTTGCAGCAAATAACATGATTGCAGTCTGCTCTGATGCCCATACCCCTGCAATATCTGGCTCTAGCCCAGGTGGTGGCATTACTGCAAAAGAGCAAGTTGTTCCCACCCGTATCCTTGCCAGGACCCAGATGGAAATTCTCGAGCTGGAGATGAGAGCCCGTGCAATCAAGGCAATGCTACAAGCAGCAAGTCAGTGCCGCCCTTTGGAACAGCAGCAGCCACCTCCATCTTCGTAGAATATAAAATATAAATCTTAAATCAAAAAGAGAAACTTTTTTTTTCAAACTAGTAAAAATTCAATTTTGCTAAAGAGCCATTTGGAAAATATATTCTAGGAAATAAAAAAAAAGGAATAAAAATGCTTGTTAATGATTTTTTTTTCATTAAGAGTGAATTCTTTTTCTTATTTTTATAAATTTATGTTAATGTGTCTTTGCAAAAAGAAAGAAAATGTTAAAAACTTTTTGCTACCAGTAATTGTATATAAAAATGTATGCATAATGTCATATTTCAATGTTTTTATTTGCATCATAGTCATATCATGTACAATGTAAATTTTGTTAATGAGTATTTATGTTGTGTTTTATTCAATATAGCTGATTTTAATAAATATAGATGCCAAATTTATCCTTTTTTGCTTACAAAATACTTGGTGGTGACATATGTATATATATATATATATATATATATATATATATATATATATATATATATATATATATGTATAATGACGAGACAAAGTAGAAAAGGTTATAAATGATGTATTTCACCAACATCTGTTGGTTACAGCTTCTTCAGGTTGGAATGAAAGACAAAACTGTGTGTAAGGAAAATGGATTAGGATTTTTGAGGATAAAAGGAGCAATAAATTAAATTACCTTATCAGATCAAACAACCAGATATCAGAAAGTTTTTTATTTCTTTGGTATTTACATACACAAGCACACACACACACACTACATGCATAAATACATACATGCATACACACACACACACACACACACACACACACATATATATATATATATATATATATTTATTAAAGACATTTTTTTTTTATGTTTAACGTTCTTTTTTTATAGATACAAGTATTTAAGTAAATGCTCTGTTTATAATAAACAGTATTAAATAACATTTACCGGCCTGAATGTCAAGAAATTTTCATAGAAAATATTCGTCCTTTGACTTGGATTGAACCTGCATCCTATACGGAACTGTCATTTACGCTGACGTGCCTTAACCGTCCCGGCCACAAAGGAGCATTCGGTAGGCAAGGTCGAATTTACTGCTTTGTGGCCGAGACGGTTAAGGCACGTCAGCGTAAATGACGGTTCCGTATAGGATGCAGGTTCGAATCCTGTCAAAGGACGAATATTTTCTATGAAAATGTCTTGGACATTCAGGCCGGTAAATGTTATTTAATACTGTTTATTATAAACAGAGCATTTACTTAAATACTTGTATCTATAAAAAAGAATGTCTTTAATAAATAAATTGTTGGACTTTGTCCATTTCTTAATATATATATATATATATATATTGATGCATGTTTCATTAAATAATATAGACAAGTTTTGTCTATTTATTTTAAGTAAGTTCCTTTCATATTCTCTGATAAGCTTAATAACATTACCATTGAAAGACAAAAGGATATCACCATATTGATATATGTTTAAATCTAATCTAATCATTAGTATTTTAAAAAATTTTGGAGAAATCATTAGAATCTAATATTGAGTTATAGATCTGGATTCAAGTTACAAAATTATAGGGTGGGGATAAAAAGAAGAAATAAGTATAAATAAAAATTGGAGACAGCGAAATATTTAAGAAAAATTTGTTAAACTAAACCCTATAATTTTGTAACATGAAAACCAATATTAGATTCCAATTATATAATTATTAAACATACAATATACTATATAACTTTGCTTCCACAAGACCCAGAATTTTTGAAAATACTACTGATCATAACAAACAGTTGATCACCATTATAAGTACAAGAAGACCATACTGAACATGACACTCCAAGTTGTACTTTTGGCATAAAGCATTATGTATATTTATTAATATATACTTTATAGCTCTGTGTTGCCACATTGAGCACTGTTCTGTTAACACCAAAATTTAAATAAAATAATTATTTTCAAATTTATATATGCACGTGATGACACATATGTAAGTTTCATTAAGAACAACTGACAAGGTACTGCAATTAAAGCTTTTTATTAAATTTTTCTTGTGTTCGTCTAAACGATTTCTTTTCTGTACATCAAATTTCCAGAAAAGAAATCATGTAGACAAACACAAGAAAAAATTTAATAAATAGCTTAATTGCAGTACCTTATCAGTTGTTCTTAATGAAACTTGCATAAAAGAGGGATTGCTGCCCAAATACAGAATTAATATATATATATATATATATATATATATATATATATATATATATATATATATATATATACACACACACACATATATATATATATACACACACATACATATATACACACACACACATATATATATATATATATATATATACGTAAGTGAATGTAATGGATTCGAGTGGAATTCGAACTTGGCTCTCGATTCCTCAATCCAAGCCGCTTATCCTTTATTCCACCGTGCCTCCGATATAAAGCAATATATATATATATATATATATATATATATATATATATATATATATTCATTGGTGTTTGGTGGATTTTAAATCAGCCCACCTCCAAGTAGATATCTGTTTTTTACCCCTACTGGCTCATATAACACATTGTTCTATCATTGTTTCTATGATGATGGGTGATAGTATGTATGATCCTGGTCTTAAGTTTATTGTCAAAAATTATGAGATCAGCACACTCTCAATGCATTTTCTTCATAGTGAATGCTTTCCACTCATGATCAGACTTATTAAGTCGAGATTGTGTTCAGATGTATTAGGGTGAAACACCAGTGTGTTATTAGGAAAGGCAATCTGTTGTATGACCCTAGGTGTTTGTTCATGCATCTTCAGCATTTATCAATTTAAAATTGTAAATTTGCTGTATTTCATCCTCACCATATTTAATATGATTCCATTGTTCCATTGACAAAATACTTATTAGTGTACAGAAATCCATTTCAAGACCGAAATGCATGAGGTAGGATTTTGCCGTTTTGTCATTCATAGGTGTGTTCCTTACAAAAAATGTACTCACTCTTTAAATGATAATAAACACAGTGTTTATTGACTTGCAAACGAGATTAATGGCTAAAATTAAGAAATATTTATGTTTATAGGTTTACAAAGAAGATTAACAGTTTAAATTAAATATTAAATTAAATTAATTGCATGTTTATAAATATTCAAACTGACAATGAAGTCAAGAAGTACATTTTGGTGGACAACCTATGTATGCATGTATGTGTGTTTGTGTATATATATATATATATATATATATATATATATATATATATATATATATATGCAGTTAATTAGGTATTCTATTTTCGCTCTATTTAGTGTATTGAGTACTTTTACGTATCAGCTTAGGTAAATCTGTTGGTGTTTTTTCTTTTGGCTAGACATTGTGGTGCTTGTTGATTATTTTCAAGCAATATGAATGTTTTTAGTCTTCTTTTTTTATAGAATTTTTTTCCCAGATATTAGTTTGTGTAATATATTTTATTCACAAACTGTACTGTTTTTTTTTTACACCACCAGGGTTATAGTATAGGCATAAAAATAATAAAAAATAATACATATATATAAGTTAGTTTGTATCACTCATTTTATAACTTAAATGCTTCGTTTGAACACTAAAAACATTCACACCTTTTCTTAATTTTATGAATAATATCTATCAGTGGCTTAGAATATTCTAAAAAGTAAATCCAGTTGCAACTGTTAACTTTTATAGAACTGAGTAAGACTTCTCTGAGACAGGGTATTATGGCTACTTACATTATTTACGTTATTCGGAATGTTTTCTTCATCTCCATAGCTATATTCACAACATTTCGGCCGTTGTACACTCTGGCCTTCTTCAGGTGATCGGAATTTTGAACCAAACACTTTATTTCATCCCCCGGGGTAGATTGTTCTAGTTCCACGTGCCATGCCTCTTCCAGAGGTCTCAGTTATTTCCCTTTTACTCAACACTCCAAGTTTTGGTTCACCATTGTTGTGGCCTGATATTGAACTTACAACTCACAACTCTTTGAGTGTAGTCACTGGATCTAATCAACGTCTTTATCCACCATGGCCCAGTGGATAAAGACAATGAGGTCTGTCTGAAAATGATCCTGCTGCTTGACATAAATAAAAAGTAGCTTTCCTATGGCAATAGCACTTTAATCCTTTTCAAAGTAATCCTCTTGAGCTGTAACACGTTTATTCCTTCCATTTTTCAAAATATTCTGCAACATCCTTCATAAGGATTGCTATAAGCTTTTTTGTTATGTTCTCCTTAATCTCATCCATAGTATGAAATCTCTTGTTTTATGTTTATTCAAATTTTCATAAAAGATAGAAGTTGCAGAACTATAGTGGTGATGACAGACATGGTTGATGCAATGTTTTACCAAACTACTCAGCATAGCATGTAAAGAACAGGCAGTTAAGATATTCAAACTGGTTGGATATTTTTTGAACAGTGGAATCAGCAGATGTTCTCTTATATTAACAGTTGCCATTTTCCTTTCACTGAAGTCTGCACGCATTTAACATTTTGAGCGATTTGTTTGTTGAAGATCTCCCAGTACTGGAATTACTTTCAATTGGTTCTCAGCCAAGTTTGTAGTGAAATTTTATCTAAGCTTCACACATTGCAGCATCTCTAAAAGCCATTTTAATCATTCAATTAGTCCAAGTTTCACACAGAACTTGATGTATATTCACTCTAGGTATGACAGTCACACTGTACATAAGTTCAATCAATGGCAAAACAATTATAACAAATTTAGTATCATGAAGGCTGCGCTAGGGATAGTTTTGCCTAAATGCTGCAAATTGCTACAAAACCAAAAGATCAACCTAAAACCTTAAGTTATGTTCTTAAATAGTCTTGTCAGATTGAGACTTTCATATGGAGACCATGCATGGTGCCAAACCTATTCAGAAATATCTAAACAGTCAGCTGTCTAATATCAATGGTTAAAAGAAGTCTTTGAACAAGTGAAACATGAGGATCTTGGCAAAGATCATCCTTCTTTGAACATTGTGAACTGGTGCTACAAACTGTACCAAATAACA